CAAGATAAAGTCTGTCTGCTGCTGTTAATTGTTATAGGTTGATGTTTGAATTACTTTACCTTTATAGAACAAGTATCTTCCATGGTGAAGAACACCTTCCAAGTGAAAACATCAAAGCAGCTTACAGTTATGAATTAATTCAGCTAAAGCTCATTCCTGAAAATTTGTATTACTGTTCTTACAGTTAGAGAAGTATTACAGATTTTATAATAGTTAGAAAATAAGAATTTTGCTAAATTGTTTCCTGGAAAGTAAGTCAACTGCCAGACAATTTGAATGCTCTTTTTGCAAAGCTGTTATAATCTGATTCACTTCCATTGTGAATTTAAATCCTTTGCAGAAGTGTATACTAGCCTGAATTATGAATTGGTTCCAACATGAAACTTGAAAAGAGGTGGGAAAGGAATATTATGTTACTCATAACTATGTCTCCTTCTTTATAATGCAGTCATGCTTCAAACTGTCTAGGGAGCAAAGCTGCTGGCTGAGAAATGAAATATAAATGATTTATTTCACCTCTAACTTAGCACCCATAACACCTATACGTCAGTTAGTTACAATAACTAAGCATGGGAATAGACGTGTTTATCTCTTTCCTCTGCATTTCTCCTTCTCATCTCCCCTATTAACACTTCAGGATAATCTGTCCCCTTCCATCCCATCAAGTCTCTATAAAGCTGTTCATTGACATTTGTTCCTTCTATAAATCCATATCATATTCATCAGCTTACCATAAAACTCTACTCTTATATGAATTGATTGAACACAATCAATCCTAGTACATGATTTTGGAACACAGGCATACTATACCTTATGCTCTGTGTGAGTTTCCCATGGTGATGATGTCCAAGTTTCTCTACATCTTTACTCCACATCTTCCATCCTAAACCCCCAAAGTGTATATACTTACTCTACATTCCTTTCTTTTCACAGAGTTAACTTAGGAACTCCGTGTTTTAGGAACATATGGTTAGTACTGAATTGTGGGAAGCATTTCCTTTCCTTGGATTTGTTTTTGTCTCAATAATTTGTTCAACTGCTGCTTTTACTTTTGCAGTGGCAATACCGTTTCAGTGAAAACACTGCCTACTTAAAGTTTGTCATCACTTTTTCCTATGGTTATCCTATCTATTTGCCCAGCATGATCATCTTTCTCTTTTCAAAAGACAGAATAGAACCTGAAGACTGAGGATCAGAGAAGTAATTACAATAAAAATAAAACCATTTTTAATAATCCTTGCTGGCTGAGTCACTCTATTGTTGGTGCAGGTTCTGAATGTCCCATATCTCTGTCTTCCAGTCAGACAGAAAGGCTTCTGAAAGACTGAATTGAAAGCAGAGAAAGTCAGGACTAAAATTCTTCACAGAAGAGTGAATTATTTTGGTATTCTAACATCCAGGTGGTGATTAAAGAAGTGATCTAAAATCTGACCTTGTCTGTAAGTAAGAGATAAAAAGGTACAAACTCCACCAATTGTATGAGACATACAATTGGGCACTGAGCTGTCTCTTATTTTCCCTCCTATCTAGTTTCTATGTGCTATGTGTCTCATACAAAGCCACTTATCATATCTTTCTTGCTGGTCTCTCAAACTCCTCTGTTTCTCTACAACTCTCTTCTCTGTTTAGTTCCTTTCGCCTCTGTTCATATTCTCAAAAGATATTACCATGTACATCCAACAGAAGAGTTTCTGTGCTGCAGTCCTCACATTCCCTAGATATGTGTTAAAATAAAATCCATGAAATTATAAAATTCATGTAGTTACCTGCTGTGAAAGGCTGTTCTATAAAAGAATCATTGCCTTGATGCACACTCTTCTGTTATTTGTAAAATAAGATTACTTCTCTCATTCAGTTACTTAGTGATAATTGACTGCTTAAGGCTGGCTCTCAGTCGTAATTATTCCCCAGTGAAAACACAACCACATGCTCTGCAGTTGCTCTCATATCTGCTCACAGCATATGCAACACATAATCCTTCACCAAACATCTATTCCTTTTTTTTTTCCTTCCTAATTTATGTCAACAAATTACTAGGGAACATTTCTCCAAAGGAAAACTCAATAGAGGTAAAGAGCATTGGTGCACCTAGTCATTACATTGAACCTTCAGATTATTAGAATAACTCAGATTCAAGATAATCTAATGAAGGGATTGCCCCACTGCCACCTCTTGTGACATTGATAGCTTTCCATTCACCTGCTGAACCGATTCACTTCAGAGAATTAAGCATCTAGTAGCTTTAGTGCTATGTCCATAAGGCAGTCTTTTATAAGCTGAAATCACTATTAAAAAGTCATCCCAGTGCAGAAGCTCTCAGCTACAGCGGTAATGTGCTAATAGATATGTAAGGAGCTCCCCTCAGTGGCATGAGAAGGGATTTTCAACAATGTTATCTAGCACAGGAGAAGAAAGGAATCTTTGGAAATGTAAATATGTACACTAAACACTCCTTGATTCAATCTCTGCTTGATCTTCTTTAATCAAAGCACTAGAAACATGACCTTTCACTAGGATGGCTTTATTCATGTTCAGCAACAATTTCTAAGAAAATTCAATCACTGTCTGTGGAAAGATGTTGTTAATCAAGCAGATACTCTGTATTATAAATCATAAGTGACAGAGAGTCCTGCCCAGGTGCTTTATAACATATGATTGGCATACTTGTTATTCCATGCAGTAATGAGATGAATTGCTCTATATGATTACAAGTCCCTGATTACTTCCTGGCAAGCTGGAGTTAACGAATATTTATTTAACTCTATAGGATAATTGTTTGGATAATGAACAGAGAAATATGAAATTCTGAATTAAAAAAATTATTTATTTATTTATTTATTTTGCTTACTTTCCTGCCATCTGATACATAATAACCTTGGCTAAAACCTAATCAAACACAATAAAATATTACTATTTTTATTTTAAGCTTTTAAGGCTTTCATTTGTAAATAACTACTTTTTCTACTCTTTCTTTTCCAATATCATCTCTAGACTTTACTGAAAACCTGAGTACTTGTTTTACAGTCTGTGGTTTCTCTTATAGTCTCCCTATTAAAAGATGTCAAGCCTGAGTGAACAGGATTAATCTATTTCTAAATCAAAGATCATCAGACTGTAGGTAATAAACATACCCAAATGGAAGTGATACAATGGGGTTAAGAAGCAGGGGTATTTGGACTTCAGTACTTAACTGGAATTCAATAGGGCCTTTGACGTGGTCCCCCATAACATTCTTCTCTCCAAATTGGAAAGATAAGGATTTGATGGGCAGACTGTCTGATGGAAGAGGAACTGGCTGTGAGATAGTACACAGACAGTGGTGGCCAGTGGCTCAATGTCCAGATGGAGATCAGTGACGAGTAGTGTCCCGCAAAAGTCAGTACTGGGGCTGATACTATCCAACATGTTTGCCAATGATATCAATAGTGGGATCGAGTGCACTCTCAGCAGGTTTGTGAATGACAACAAGCTGTGTGCTGTGGTAGCAAACCTGAGGGACAGGATGCCATCGAGAGGGACTTCAGCAGGCACGGACAGTGGGACCAAGAGAACCTCAAAAAGTTCAACAAAGTCAAGTGTAGGTCTTGCACAAGTGTTATAAAGAGCTGCTGAGATTACTGGGATTACTCAGGGGAGACCTTTTAACTTTCTACAATTCCCTGAAAGGAGGTTGTAGCAAGGTGATGAGTGGCCTCTTTTCCCAGGCAATTAGCAAATAGAGGTAAGGCCCCAAGTTTGTAGGAATGGAATGTTGTTTCTGCATTAGATATTAAAAAGGAGGAATTGATCTGAAGAAGCAGAGCACAATGTATTTTTTGTAACTTGTCCTTAGAAATAGCTAATGTGAAAAAGTAGAAATGCCATATATGTTAGTAACTTGCTTTAGAAATATAGTTGCTGAATTATGTGATTAATTCTTGCTTGCAAAACTGCAATAGTGTAAGTGTAGTATTACGGACTAGAAAGCACATTCTAGGGCTCTTCCGTTTGGATAAGAGACCCTCAGCAAAAGAAAAGCAGACTTAACAAACATCAAAGAAGCCAGGGCCTCTACACAAGGCTGGATTGCCTTGCTCTGTGGGTAAGTTAGGATGCAACAGGCAGGCATCAAGATACTCCCCCCTATCCTCCTTCTAAGCTTATCTATATGCAAGGACAAGCAGATGTCCAGAAACAATGACCAAGTGATGAATGAGCAAGTGTGAGAAGTTAACTAATTGGTGATATATGCTTAGCTAGCAAAAATTTATGTTTAGCCAGTGTCTGCACGTTTAGTTGAGCGTCGGAAGATTGTGAACCTGAAGTACTCAGCCAATGAGGAACCAGGGGAAAAAGAGATAAGCGTTGAGTAATAGGGCATAAAAGATGTAATGCTGTTTTCTGCGTGCTCTCCTGCTTGCAGGAGGCCTGCCATTGCAATTGCGAATAAAATCAGCTTTATCAGAGATACCGTCCTGATAAACTATTTGGGTATTTCCAACAATTTGTAGCAGGGGACGTTCAGCTTGGATATCAGGAAAAAAATTCTTCTCAAAAAGCGGTGAGGCATTGGCACAGACTGCTCAGGGAAGTGGTGGAGTCACCATCCATGAAGGTGTTAAGAAACACATTCATGTGGCACTGAGGGACGCAGTGAGCGGGCATGGTGGTGATGGGTTGATGGGTGAACTAGATGACCTCAGAGGCTTCTTCCAGCTTTTAGGATTCTATGATTTCGCAAAAAAAAAAAAACAAAAAAAAAACAGAAAAACAAACAAAAAAAACACTGGTCATGAAATTACAAAATCTTAGTTTCTGTAATATTACAAATCAGAGATTACAAGCAGAGCTGACTAGCTCAGCGCAGCGCCATAGCTACAGGAAGCAGAACGTAGAAGCAAGGCGCATTGTGCCGCCAACTACAGCCCTTCCCTCTCAGCCCCTCAGAGCACGCTGCCCCCGTACGTAACGCCTACCAGCACTTCCGGTTCCGCACCCGCTGGCTGACGTAACTTCCGCTCCGGAGCGCTTCCGCCGCCGTCATTTCCGCCGCTGCCGCCAACACCGCGGTCGCCTTTTCCTACCCGGCTGTAGTATAGCCGCGTCCCCTGCCCAGCTCCCTGCGCGTCCCGAGCTCAGCCGCCGCCATGGCCATGAGGCAGACCCCTCTGACGTGCTCCGGGCACACGCGGCCCGTGGTGGACCTGGCCTTCAGCGGCGTCACCCCCTACGGCTACTTCCTTATCAGCGCCTGCAAGGGTAAGCGCGGCTGGGGGGCGAGGGGTGGGCGGCCGCGCTTGCCTCACCGGTCCCTTGCAAAGGCCGCGGTCACTGGGCCTGCTCCGCCCTGAGGCCGCGTGGACAGCGGGCGGGCCTGCGGGCCGCTGTAAAGGGGTTGTGCGTGGCTACGGCCGCAAGTACCTGTTTGAAAGATTTGCGATGGGGAGAGCGGGGAGGAGGAGGGTCGAGGCGAGCGTTCAGCGGGGCGTTGGTGCTCTTAAAATAATACCTGCTTCCAGCGTAACCAGATTGGAACTGGTTGGAGGGTTTTTGCAGTGTTTTAGCCCGCAAGGTGTTAGGGCTTCCATTCATTCACGTTGAATCCCGCTTGTAAAGGAAAGGCTTGAAAATCGTTGTTTTAAAGTAGCTATAACTGCCTCTTGTGTATATATCCCGAACACCCCTTAAAGCCGGCTCCTTTTCAACTGAGGCAGCTGCCTTGCTGATTGCAGAGCAGTGATTTCTGCTTCCTTTCCCATAAGAACTCTCTTCTGCTCATTTATAAGAGTAACGTTTTTATTCATATGCATATGAATTAATCTTCACGTGTGTTCCCAAGTTTAAAAGAACATTCCTCATCCTTTCTGAGAACTTCATGTTCAGCTCTGTTCCTTTGGGTGAACTGTATCTGATAGCCCCCTCGCAAAAAGTAATCACAATAAAGGCTTTCTATTTCATTTTAACAGCATCTCTGTGTTTGAAACGTCTCTCATTATAAACCCGAGACTCCTTTTTGTGTACTGTTAGTCTGAAAATATTTATTTAAAATCAATGGAACTGACCTGCCCTAGGGAAACTTGACTATATTAAAAAAAAAAAAAAAAAAAAAGCAACGAACAACAGAAGGTGCTCCTTTCTATTGTAGAAACAAAACCAAAAGAAAGCTTGAATTTCATTTGAAATAATATTTTAGTATCTGTGGCTTTAGATGCATGCTAGAGGTGCAACAGTATGAAAAAGTTTTTCAGCTAAACTGTTTTACAAAGAATAGCTTCATAGTGTATATGGTATTTCCATTAAGGGAGCTGGTCTGATGGCGGTTTAATTTTTGTTCCATGTTGGTGCAAGGGAACTGTTTCCTAAAACAGCTTTCTTTTTTGTTATGTTGTCTGAATATTGGTTTTTGTTTTTCCGAAGATGGAAAGCCTATGCTACGTCAGGGTGACACAGGAGACTGGATTGGCACATTCCTAGGTCATAAAGGTGCTGTCTGGGGTGCTACTTTGAACAAAGATGCCACTAAAGCAGCTACAGCAGCCGCAGATTTTACAGCGTAAGTGATTACCTGCTTTTGAAGTCTTTATTTTGATTTCAGTCAGTAGCCTTTTTTTTTTTATATGGCTGTAGAAAGTTGCTGTGGTTGTTTGGTTTTTTTTGTTTTTTTTAAGTAAATTGTTACCTTATAACTATATTACAGCCTAGAATTTAAATTTTTTACGAGCAGCTACAGCTAATTCTATCTTGCTGAGCAACTATGGTTGCTTCTTGTCAAATATACTTAATTACTGTACTGATTTGTTAGAATAAACAATGCTGTGCAGTTCAAGACTTTAGTACTGTAGTTATACCTGAGTGGCAAGAGTGATCTTCATTTTGTGTACTAGTCAGACACTTATTATTAGAAGGAGACATGCAGAAGTATTAGTGAATCATTTATTTTTGTTTTGCTTGTTTGAACTGTTTGCAGTGTACTGCAATATATTTGATGATTCAAATCCAGTTATTCGAATTCAGTCTGTAAAAGTTGTGAAGAAGAGCTGCCTTTGTTTGTCTTGAATCTAAAATGCTGATCGTGTGTTATCCTGAAGAAGTGAGTGAAAGAAAATGGTGGGATAGTAACAAAAAATACTTCAGTAAAAGAATATGTGGTATGCTTATACATCTGTAGTTCATTAGAATGTATTATTTATGATTAAAAATGTTATGATAGTGTCAGGAAGGATTATATAGGATAGGTTAGGACAGACAACTTAATTTGTTCAGATTTGTCCTAGAGCTACTGAAATGTACATGTTTTCTCTTGTCATTTAGCAAAGTGTGGGATGCTGTGTCAGGAGATGAACTAATCACACTGGCTCACAAACACATTGTCAAAAGTGTGGATTTTACACAGGTATGAAAAAACTTTATAGCATACTCAACAAAGAAGTAAGGTCTTCGGTATGTTTTGTTATTTGCTACTTTTTTTATATGTCTGTTTTGGCGGGCAAGTAATTTAGCATACATTTAAGCTTTGATCTTACAAATAAGTTGTAATATTTTAGAAACTGTCTGAGATAAATAACTGATATTTTAAGGCTTATGGATGAAGGCTGATATTTCAATTTAAAATACAGTTGACCCTTTATAACTTCTGTTTCAGGATAGCAATTATCTGTTAACAGGTGGACAAGATAAATTGTTGCGCATCTATGATTTAAGCAAGCCAGAAGCAGGTGAGTCTGCACTTAGAACTGGTTATTGCTGGTTTTCTGTTTTGTTGATTTTTCTTGTGTATGAGTTAAATATGAATTCTGGACTTTGTTGTAAATTTCAAGACATGTTTGAGCTTGTTCTACAAAGAATGTTTCTATAACAGTTTTCTATACTAAGTCAAATTGTGTTAGTCTTTGAAGTGAAATAGAGCTTATCTATGAAGGGTTTCAGGGATAGCATGTTTTACTTCAACAGGGACTTACTATGAGTAGGTCTAACTAAAGTTCCACTACCTGAAAGGGAAAAGTCTCTTCATATTTAACTGTGCTTAAATTCATATTAATACTGAACTTCTGAAAACAGATAAAAAGCTAATTGATATTGACGTTAACCTAGTGAAGCTTTTTATGTTTAGACAATTGGATAGATTCCTAGATTGAAATCTGTAAATAAAGTCAGTAGTGTTTGAAGTAATTTTGCAGTTTCTAGTAAATGGAAATCTGTATAGATTACCAGAGTTCCTAAACTATTGCATGATGTTTATTTATGCTCTTATGTGTACTAAATACTTATTTTTATTTTAAGAACCTGATGTTGTCAGTGGGCATACTTCTGGTATTAAAAAAGCTTTATGGAGCAGTGATGACAAACAGATTCTTTCAGCTGATGATAAAACTGTCCGGTAAGAAAAAAAATAACTTCTAGTTTTCTAAGAAGCTCACATTTACTTGTGAGTGTACAGTTTCTGTCAGAAGATTGTTCTTTCCTTGGGAAATAGTAACACAGGCTGTTTGATTCTAGATTAGCATATGTGCATGTAATCCAGTTTTTATATGTTGCTGGTGATGTAATTTTTGTGGTAATTCTGATTTGCACCATAAGCATGTCCTCCCTGGTAAGAAGAGGTGGTCTTTGATAACTGAGTAGTATAATTAATTTGATTTTCATAATCCTGGAGGAAATTAATTGCTAGGTGAGGTCTTGTGAAGACACTAGATGAAGTGTCACTGCCTTGTCTTCTGCGGTCAAGCATAAGGTGAGGGCTGGGATAAAAGGCAGAGAAGCCTCTCTGGAGACAGTGCACTCTTAATAGTCATAGTTGTCTTTCTCTACCATGCTGGTAAGTTGAGAAAGTTTTTGTGGTTTTATAAGGTAGATCATCCAGTTAAATGTACATGGGTAAAACCTAGACAGACTTGGCTACTGGGGAGATCAAATGACAAAGATCCTTCCTCAAACTGCGCTGACCAGGAAAGAAGGAAGATGTGCCTTGCTGATTCCTCAGCTTTCTGGTTGATATGATCAGCATTATTTCATGCCTACTTGTCCCCTTATTCTTATGTTTATGGCATAGAGTCATAATAGCTTTCTGCTTTGTGGAAGAACAGTGGATAGGGTGAAATCATAGTTGCAGTCTCCTCGTTTCTATTTTGGATCCATTTCTCTTCAGTTTCCTCATTCAAGATAGGCAAGTGACCTTTTTTTCTCTGAATTTTAGAAATATAGCATTCAGTTAACTTATAAGTTTCTTATTTCACTGAATCATAGAATGGTTTGGTTTGGAAGGGACTGTTAAGATCATCTAGATCCAACTCCCCTGCTGTAGTCAGGGACGCTTCCCCTTAGACCAGATTGCTCAAAGCCCCATGCAGCCTGGCCTTGAATGCCTCCAGAGTGGGAGCATCCACAACCTCGCTGGGCAACCAGTTCCAGTGTCTCACCACCCTCACACTAAAGAATTTCTTCCTAATGTCTAGTCTGAATCTACCTTCTTCCACTTTAAAACCATTTACCCTCGTCCTGTTGCTGCATGCCCTTCTAAGAGAAGTCCCTCTCCAGCTTTCCTGTCGGCCCCTTCATGTACTGGAATGCTGCTGTAAGGTTCCCCTAGAACATTCTCTTCTCCAGGCTGAAGTGCCCCAGCTCTCTCAGCATGTTCCTGTAGGGGAAATGCTGTAGCCCTCTGATAATCTTGGTGGCCCTCCTCTGGACCTGCTCCATCATCTTCATGTTCTTTTTGTGTTGGAGGTCCCAGAACTGGACACAGTACTCCAAGTGGGGTCTCATGAGGGCAGAGTAGAGAGGCAGAATCACCTTCCTTGACCTGCTGGTCACACTTCTCTTGATGCAACCCAGGATGCAGTTGGCCTTCTGGGCTGCAAGTGTGCATTGCTGGCTTGTGTTGAGTTTCATCAAACAATATTCCCAAAACCTTCTCCTCTGGGCTGTTCTCAAGCTCTTATCTGCTCAACCTGTTCCTGTGTTTAAGATTGCTCCAATCCCAGTGCAGGACTTTGCACTTGGTGGTCTTGAACTTCATAAGGTTAACATGGGCCCACCTCTCAAGCCTGTTTGGCTTGAGATGCATCCCTTCTCTCTAGTGTGTCAGCTGCACCACTCAGCTTGGTGTCATCTGCAAACTTGCTGAGGGTGCACTCAATCTCACTGTCCATGTCACCTACAAAGATACTAAATAGTACCAGTCGCAGAACCTTTCCGTGAGGAATGCCACTCATCACTGTTCTCTGATTGGGCAATGAGCTGTTGACTGCAACTCTTGAGTGCAGCCATCCAGCCAATTCCTTATCTGGCGAGTGGTCCATCCATCAAATCCATTTTTTCCTCCAATTTGGTGACCAGGATGTTGTGTGGGACAGTTTGTTACAATTTAATTTGATTTCTGTATAGATATTTCTTACCTGCCTAGGTAAAGTGCTAAATTATATTCAATGAGTCTATCATTTTCTTAAATTAGTATTATATCTCTTTGTGTTTTGAGTTTAAGAAGGCAGAATGCAGTCTTAAAGCTTTGCTTCTAGAAATCAGTATTGTTCAGGAGACATGTAATAAGGCTTTTAGCTTTTTAAGAGAATCCTTGAGTATTAAACCGTAAAACAGTATGTGTACTGTTTAATGTTATTAAGTTTTAAAAGTAGCAGTATTTTAATGTAAGCATGCCTTAATTCTTATGTAAGTAAAGCTAGGCAAAAGAAAGCATGCTGCTGAAAATGTGAAATGTCTGTGGAACATTCTTTAGGTGGCTTTTGGCAACCACAGCATGCCACGGGTGGAGGTGGAAAATGATTTGCTGAATTGATCTAAGAGTCTTTCTTCTTTCTGATTTTTCTTAAGCCTCTGGGACAGGAGTACCATGACTGAAGTGAAAGCACTAAATGTTGCAATGTCTGTGAGCAGCATGGAGTATGTTCCGGAAGGGCAAATACTTGTGATAACCTATGGGAAGACTATCGCTTTTCATAGTGCGGAAACGTGAGTCCAAAAACACAGAATCTTTTTGACTTGAGTTATGGGTTTGATTGTGAGGAAAACTGACAGTACAAGGCCAAGATCACAAAGTTGTCAGAAATGATGTCAGTAGATATCTTTACCTACCATGTTGTCAGAGGCAAAGTCTGAAACAACTATACTTTTCTAAAATAGTGGACCCTGACTGTCTGCAAGATGATAGACTGTAATGGATCAGTACCATTTTCATAGCTCAAAACTAGCTGGAGTTGTCATTAAATAAGATTTTTATCTAGAGTTCAATTTAGTGCTTTAAGAGAACTAATCTGTACAATTTCTATGATGTTTTAAAGGAAGTTGCAGTCATAAATATGTACCAGAAAGTAGTTCGAAATGTGTGAACCTATTCGATGTGTTTTGCTTATTCTGAACTTGCTGTTTCTAAACTTTATGAGCTTGGCTTGCCAATGTTAAAATTTGTTTTGGAAACTGCATGTGAGTGTCTGTTTGCTTTTTTCTTTAAAAAAAAAAAAAAAAAGCAACTGTGATTTGTAGAATCACAAGACCTTTGCTTACAGGATCTTTTTTAAAATAACTTTTTTTTTCTCCTCCCTTAGTCTAGAGCAGATTAAATCATTTGAAGCACCTGCTACAATCAATTCTGCATCCCTTCACCCAGAGAAAGAATGTTTGGTTGCAGGTGGTGAAGATTTTAAACTCTATAAATATGACTATAACACAGGAGAAGAATTAGGTATGTTTGACTTCAATAATAAAAAACAAGTTCTGACATGTATTAACTAAATGACGTAGTGGCTAATGAATTAAACTTGTAGAGCATGCTGTGCTACAAACTTATCTGAGTTCAGGATAATGGAAAGGTAAGTAGTCAGTCAGGAGGCTTTGTCCTTTGTTAGTATACCTGATGTTACTCTTACAGATCTAATTAAGGCCTCTGTTAAATAGCTGTGCAGCTATTAGGAAAAAAAAGGTGAGTCATCCCATACTGCTGCAATAGCAAACTGTACGTTAACTTAAATGTCATACTATGGCATTCATTATGTCTACTGAATCACAGTTACTGGATTGTATTTTAATGCTGGCCGAGTGTAATGCATTTTTAAGTGTATTTTCATCTATTGCTCCTGTCTTTGTTTAAAGTTGCATAGATGTGTATGTAGTAAGTGACAAAACAGAGCACGTACTCTATGCTGTTGGCTTGCTTTGTAATTTTGCCTATAATAATTAAATGCTTGTCTTCTTGCATTTAATTCAGATAACATTAACACTTTATTAAAAAGGGGATACTAATTATTAGAAATCGGTATCAAAAATGAAGTACTGGAAAAGTTTTCCCCCAGTCCATATTTTTTTTCGTCCTTCTAATTAGTTTTCTCGCTTATTTCTGCCATTGCCTGAAGTTAGAAATTATTGGCCTTGATATGTTCTCTTATAGAATCTTACAAAGGGCACTTCGGTCCAATTCATTGTGTGAGATTTAGCCCTGATGGGGAGTTATATGCCAGTGGCTCAGAGGATGGTACGCTAAGGCTGTGGCAGACAACAGTAGGGAAAACCTATGGTCTTTGGAAGTGTGTAGTTCCTGGTAAGTGTGTGCTTTTGTTTTCTTTTTCCTGGTGTTACCTGGCTGCTTCATCCAGAAATCTTAGTAGTAATATAAATGGCAACCATCATCTGAATTTGTTATGGGATCTCTACTGTCATTTGGCATCTTCATAGAGACTGAAGTTGGTTTAAGGTTTTACTTCTGTAGCTGTCATTTAAGCAACTTAAATGAGAGTTTAATTAATATTGACACTTTGTATTACATTGCTTGTATAGCCTCAAATCTTCATGTTATAGAGCAGGAGGTTTGAAATAATTTTGTGAATACTTAAGATATATACCTCTCCTTCTACAGATTCTTAAAAGCTTTCTCTGTACTTCTCTAGTATTTTGGGGAGGAGGGAGCTCAGGGAGGCAGTGCAAAAATGGCAAACAAGTAACAATTGATGGAATTGCTTACCCATCTTTCTCCTTAACACTAAATAAGTGGAAATTCTTTTGTTTCTTTTCAGAGTGAAACCCACTTTTCACTCTGAGTTGAGTGGAAGGGAAGGTACTAACCATTTTTTCTCCTCCCTACAGAAGAGGAGAATGCAGAAGCAGCAAAAGCAAGGACCACTCTTCCAGGAACTGCAGAGGAGGAAATAGGTAATACATTGAACTTTATATGCCAACTTTAAGACTTCTTTAGCAGGGAACAGTTAACTTTTTTCCAAGTATTCCTTCTGGCATTTTTCACTCCTCTAGAGATCTTTGAGCATGTTTTTCTAGGAAACTGTATGTTAAGTGTCAAAATAGTGACTAGAGCTGTGTCATCTTGCAAACTTAACAGATATGGTAGAAAAACCAAATTGAGTTAAGTTGAAAAGAAAAACTAAACCAGTCTTTAAAACATCACTGCAGCATTCTTTAGTTTATGTATGTAAATTGATTCTCTCTTTAATTGCAGAAGAAGTTGCCTCTGAAAACTCAGATTCAGTGTACAGCTCAACTCCTGAAGTTAAGGCGTGATTATCTCAACTGTTATGCAACGTATGGACATACAAGACTAAATCAAGTGAGCAGTGATAAACAGCAGCCTTCCAGAGTGCACTCTCTACATAAGGCAAAGATGGGCAGTAATTGATGAGAATGCAGTGGAACTGGCTAGGTGTTGTCTGTAAGAGAACTGAGTATCCAAAAAAAGACAAGTAGTAGAGTTTTGCTATCTCTTTAGCATAACTGCCTACTGTCTTTTGAAAGAAGTGTGCAAGCCAAGATCCAGTCTCTCCAATTTCAATTAGACTCATTGTAGTGTGTTTTCTTTATTACAGAGAAAAAAAAAAATATGGCTTTTACCCATTTTTTTTTCCTTTAAAGTTGGAAGATTTGGCTTTAGTTGAAAAGGGGATTATGTACTAAAAGTATTCAGTTTTTGTTTCATTGTACACTGCTTCTGAATGTTTAACTGTTTTCAGTTGTCTAAATAAAATGCCTCTCAAAACTCCTAGCTTTACTGTTTAGCGTTGGGTTCATGGAATGGAAAAGCAGCCAAGTTATGGTATAATACTATCTAGCATCTGTTTGTACAGAGGGAAAGCAATAAGAATGTTTTGGTGTTTGGTCCAGAGAGTGGCAAGTTTCTTGATATGTAAGCCTTGCATCATTTTATTCTTTAACTTTTGAATGTAAAAGTGAGTCTCTAAATCAAAAACATTGGGAACTCCTAAACTAAATGTACTGACTGAAATACGTGGTTGTACATGAGAATCTCAGAGGTTGGCTGAGTTTGTAAAAACCTTGGGTTTAGTTCTCTAAACTGGATAAAAAAAAAGTTACGCTCTCAAGGTCAAAACCCATACTTTCATCATTAAAGAAAATATTGCCATTCTTCTGCTTGTCACTTCCTTTAATGTTAATGCTGAAAGACTTGCATAAGTTGTTCTTTTTTTGGAAAGGAAAAACACTATATAAACATACGTTCATATACTTTCCTGATTTTTCACGTTGAGACTCGTCCTTAACCTGACTCTTTTCCCCAATGGCATCCAGTAATGTTAGAAGAAAATTGAAGCTTAACGTTTGAAAACCTGAGTATAAATTGAAACAGAGGTATAATTCTGTCTAAGCTTATGAAAACACTTTCTCAGAGAGGGCAGTCAAATTTAGAAGAGGTTGCCTGGAAAGCCTGCAGAGGCTTCAGTTTTGAAGACACTTAGAACCCAATTGGACATGGCTCTGGGAAACATGCTTCAGCTGAGCCTGCCGGAGTAGGGGATTTGGACTTCGTCTCTAGAGGTTGATTGCAGCCTTAATTTATTCTGTGGAAGGGGGAGGAATAGAGTAAATAAGGAAAATAAAGAAGGATAAAATTAGTAGTCTTGGTTTCTTAGTATGCAGTGGTATCACTAGAAATTTATCAATTCAGTAGCTTAACTACAAAATTAATTTTTGAATAATCTGTTCAAATTTTGACCTTAAAACAAGTGCCCCTCTCACTTACTGCTACTAGTTCATTTCAGTGATTACTAATTCATTTATGAGGATTCCAAGTCTCATACTTTCTTACTTTACCAGCTGAATAAGATGTATTTAAAACCAGAAGCCTCCCCTCTATGCCTTAATGAAACTTCTTGCACTGTATGTCAAGTTGACTGCTGAGCATTTCATAGAGAATGCTGCACTAACATTTCCAAACATAAGAGCTTTGGCCCTTCGTTGCTTTCCCAGATGCTGTTGTGAATTTGTGATTTCCATGCTAGGAGTTAATGAATAGGGCTGAAATTGCAAATGTTTGTATTGATGATGTATAGCCCATGAATTTGTCAGTGGTCTTATTGCTAGATTTCTACTTCCATAGGTTGTTCCATCCGTGGAATGGAATGCTTTTCCTGTGAGGATGAGCTGTGAGAGCTGAGGCTGTTAAGCCTGGAGAAGGCTGCAATGTGACCCCATAGTGGGCTTTCAGTATCCAATGGGGAGCTACAAGAAAGAAGGGGACAAAGTCTTAAGCAGTCTGTGGTGACAGAACAAGGGGAAATGGTTTCAAGTTCAAGGAGAGTAGATTTAGATTAGATACAAGAGAATATTTTATAGTGAGGATGGTGAGAATTGGAATGGGCTGCCCAGTGGTGTGGCTGATTCCCTGTCCCTGAAGTCTTACCAAGGCAAGGCAGGATCAGGCCCTGGGCAACCTGACCTAGCTGCGGTGTCCTTGTTCATTGCAGGGGAGTTGGACTAGGTGGCCTTCAGAGGTCCCTTCCAACTCTGAGGATTCTATGATTTTGCTGGCGTCACTAGAACGCAGTACAAAGTAAGTGTACGGCGATCTTACTCTGTCCGTGTTACAGCAGCACGAAGAGCTCTTTGACCTCAGCAGCGTGGCGGCCGGCCTGCGCTCCGTGCTGGCGTTCCCCGGACGGGGCAGCGGGACGGCGTCTGCCTGCCCCTCTCAAAAAAGTCGAAGCGGCCGTGTGGGTGCAGAGGCACCCGGCGTCGCCACGTCCCGCCTCCCCGCCTTTGCTTTTCGCCCTGGGGCAGAGCGGCCGACGCGCGCTCCGCTGCCGACTCCGCTTCCTGCCGGCGCGGGGCGGGACCGGCGCTGCCTGCCTCTCTCCGCCCCGCTCGGGCCCGTGAGCGCGGGCCATGGCGGCTAGAAACGCGGGCACGGAGCTGGGTAAGGGTCGGCGGCCTGCGGGACGGGACCTTTGCGGGGCTCGGGCAGGGCCTCGTGCTCCATACGAGCGCTGGAGAGCGGCGGGACCCCGCGGGCGTCTCCACGCGAGGCTTGATGTTCCCGCGGCCGCGTCTCGCCGCCGTGTCACATCGCCTTCCACGTGCCGGCTCCTGACCGAGAGAAACCTTTTGAGTGCGTTTCCTTCTCCCTTCCTTTCACCCAAACGGCGAAGGAGAAGCAGCCTTCCCACTTCTCCACACAGCCAAACACGAGTGCAGTGGTGGGCTGCGTTCGGGTGACCAGCTCCCTGAACGGCCACCTTAAGGAGGGGTATGGCAGTTTGGTCCATAGAGCAGCAGTACATTAAGTGTAGGAGATTAAGAGGTGACGTTATGGCAGAGGGAGAGCAGCAGGTCTCAGAGCTCAGGAGGCACGCAGCACTGTTACACTCTAGCACGAGGGCACACGCTTTCACAGAGTTAACACACAAGTAAAAGATTAGCCTGTGGACTAGTTGAAGTTAACTCAGTTGTCATTCTCCGCACTGACTGACACATAGCTCTAAAAGTGAGCTGTTGCATTGCCCTCTGATGTGCTTATCCTTGGGTGCTTGCAGAAACAGGTGAGTTTGAACTATAACCATCTGAACAGCATCTTTTTCTTTGCTGACGCAAATGTGTTAATAATGCAGTAGCAAAACTTCCGTGTCTGTTACAAAAAGAAGTCAATATACGAGTTTGCACATGCATTCCAGCTATTGTAAGCTAGGCACATGTTCTACTTCTTACTGTAAATTTATGCTTACAGTTAATTGCCTGTCTATGCAGGAACTCAAGAAACTTGAATCTGAAGTCAGTCCAATTCTATCAAACAGCTGTCTTCCAACAGGTAGGAATACTTGTAAGGAAGGCAGTGCTGCCAAGTATAAAATCATTGATAGAGACAGGTGAGCTTATTAATGTTTGGCTGGAAAAGAAGTACGGAATGTGGGACTTACCAGCAAATTGTAGTCTTTGTTTTTTAGACCCACCAAAACAATCTCTGATTGCGTTCAAAACATTCTGAGTTAATCTTTCTTTTCCCACAAATGGCCACCCCCTGCCTGAGAGGTACGGTTAACTTGTGCACAAGACTTTGAATGGAGGGTGCAGTGGGATGGATGTCTTCAGGGCTGTGACATGTGGCCTCTGCCAGTTGCAGCTAATTGAACTTAAACTGCCATTGCTCTCAGCTACTTGTTGCCATCCCTTCCCAGTGATTTTTAAATCAGCTACAGTCATAGGATTATAGAGGTTGGAAGGGAGCCTCTGGAAATCATCCAGTCCAACCTCCCTACAGTAGGTTGCACAGGAAAACATCCAGGTGTGACTTTAATATCTGCAGAGGAGACTGCACCCTCTCTCAGCAGTCTCTTCCAGTGCTCTGTCACTGTCACAGTAATGAAGTTCTTCCTCAATTTTTATGGAACTTCCTTTGTTCCAGTCTATGCCCATTGCTCCTAGTCCTGTCACTGCACACCACTGAAAAGAGCCTGGCCCCATCCACTTGACTCCTGTACTTTAGATGTTTCTAAAGAGTGGTGAGATCCCCTCTCAATCTTCTCCAGGTCAAACAGGCACAGGTATCGTGGCCATACTTCATAAAGGACAGCGGAGGGCCACCAAGATGGCTGTGACCTGGAGCGGCTGCCCTGTGAGGAGGGGTTGAGGGAGCTGGACTGATTCAGCCTAGAGGAACACAGCTTTGTGCAGCTTGCCCATCCATACAAGAAGAGCATCAAAGAAATTGAGCCAGTCTCTTCATGACTGAGTGTAGTGGGGAATCAAGAGAGAACAGAAATGAATAGAAACCTGAGAGGTTCAAATTGGATGCAAGGAAGAATTTCTTCATGCAGAGATGGTTGGGGTAGGCTGCCCAATGGTGCTGTGCAGTCCTTGTCTTTTAGGATTCTTAAGACCAACAGGATAAGGCCTTGATGACTGCGCTGAGCTGAAAGCTGGCTCTGCTTTGGGCATGAGGTTGGGTGAAAGACCAACTTAACCCAAGCCAACCCAAAGTGTTCTATTTTTTATATATATACTTATATATATATTCTTTTATGTTATTATATTCTTTTATATATATGTGTACATACATATATGTATGTGTATGTATACATTCTGAGTAATGAATAATTAATTACAGTTGTTTTGCAAAATGTCTTTTTGGACTCTTTAAAAGAAAATCCATCCATGTTGCTCAACCTTCTAGTCGAAGGGCCAAAGATACGTACATTATGTTTCTACTGATATTTTTAATTATATGTAGTTGATATTTCCGAGCCATTTGCATATGAGAGCTAGCCTGTGGTAAGTGGCATTTAGATAATGAAGTGTTGCATCCCTTTTCAAGACAGCGTAATTATGTTCTAATATATTAATAGCTGTTTTTATCAGTTACAGTGGCTCTGTTCCTTCACTGTTTCCTCTTTAACACTTTCTGAATCTGCTGGATAACTTTAATCATACTTGAAATAAAGACAGATATCTCAAAGATAACTAAGTCACTGGGCAGAATGACTGAACTGCTTCCACTGTTGGTGCAAAAACGGAGCAGGCACAGCTCAGCAATGACATGGCTCCTCATTACACTTTTAATTTGTCTGTATTCAAGTAATGATGTCCTGCCTTACTCCATGGTCATATGGACCATATCAGGACAGCTGGACTATTGGGGTAAGAAGAAGTCTCTGCAGCAAGGGAGGAAGTGAGGGACTCAGTGCTGCAGGAAACCAAGCTCCAGTTGTTCTACAGCTCATGGAACAGCTGACATTCTGGGAAAAGGCTCATCAGTGGTTTTCAAAATGCTTTGGAGGGCACTGAGCTGTTTCATGTGACCAACACTCAGCACTGTGTGATCTCAGTGATGTCGCAATGTAGTTGAGCTTATTTCTACTTGGGTTTATGCCTTGGTGTGAATGCTGACGACTTGGAGACTGAACTTCTCTCGGATAAGAAGGACCCAATGTGAAAACAAAGTAGATCTATTGAAACAGTCATTATGAGAAAATATTTACAGCTTCTGTGTAGAAAAAAAGAATTACCCTCAAGCCCGTAAACAGCTTACTTGGTAACGTAACTCTTCAACAAGATCTGATCCTGAAGTCTTTTCCTTGGCTACACATGGCCAGCTGGATTCAGCCTGCGTTCACTTGAGCGTTTCATTTCTCCAGTAAATGTTCAGGACACAGTTTCATAACTGTTTATCCAGAAATAATAGCTTTCATCACTTTCCTTGCCCATTTTATCATGTGTTCATAGCAAGGAGGAGCACACATGCTGTTTTTGGCACAGAGGAGGAAATAAACAGTTGGGGGGCAGCTTCTTTTGGGGACAGAGCTGCTTTGAAATGCTTGTGAAACTACAGCCTCAGGCATTTTTTAGCTTTCTGTTTCGCCATCTGAAGGGTAACATCTACACATTTTCTAAAGCTTCCAAAAAGCTGAGTCTTTTTTATGAGGAATGTGTTAGATATCTTAGATATTTATGTAATTATACTAATGAAGTGGTTTTATTTATTGTTCTCTGAGGAACTGCTTGGTATTTTTGGATTCATGTTCTCAAAGGAAGGAATTGAATTTCCTGTTAAGATTTTGAATATGATTTTTTCAAATGTCTTTAGAGGAAAAAGTAAACTTGAAGAGTGATTACAGAATATTGGCTAATTAGCTATAGTGTAACTGCTTTAATTACTCTTATCCCTGAAGCCACATGATTGTGCAGATGACTAGCAGATGACTTATTTAAAAAAAAAAAAAAAAAAAAAGACATGTTCACACTGCAAGGTTAATGAGCCTAATTAAATATAGTTTTCCTTAGCCAGATACTAAATTATAAAGCTTGGGGGAGTGGAGGAGGGGCAGAATCCAAAGGCGGTCAGTTCTATTTGAAATAATGGTTTTATTCTGCTTTTTTAATGAGAAAAAGAAGAATAAACTGGAGTTGTAAGTGATTTTTCTGAATAGAGACACATACATTTATTTGGTGAGACCTCACATGGTGGACTTAAAAGTCTATTTAGAGACAGTTGCGGTGAGATGTATTTGTTTTCACTTGTCCACTGCTTTAAATAATGGAGAAGTGGGCTTGAATGGAAGATCTGTGTCAGACAGAAGTCTCCATCTGCTACTGCATATTCCAGAACCTTTGTCCTTCTTTGCTATGCCCTCTTTTTATTACGTGATTAACCAAGGGCCTTTTGGTTCTGAATAGAATTTTTTAGTATGAGCCATAAGAGTAAGTATATCAGATTACTCATTCCTTTAAAAGCAGAAGTAGTAGCTTATTTCACTTCCACTGTTCTTCCTTTTCTTTTCTCCTATTGACTGTGAATTTCTTTGATATTACTTGCCTTTCCTACCCCTCAGAGCATTACCCTTAATTATTTCCTTTAATGCAATCCAGTGTGCAGTGCTCCATTTTCTGAACAGATTACTCAAACCCACTGAGAAGCTATGCCCAAAAGTCAGGTATGGCCAGATACAGTAGAAGTATCTCTAGCAAGGTCCAGCATGAGATGTAACAGATAGAATCTTGATGTCTTCGTATTCTTCCAAACACTTCTGCAGACAGCAGTAGATTTTACAGATTAATTATTAAACCAGATTTCTTTGTTGTCTTCCAAAATGTAGAAATAATAGTTTACAGTAGAGTAAGTGAAACTTCTGGGTCTTTATTAGAGAGTTATTAGAGAGATGATTTCCTCATCTAAATTGGCTTCTTTAATTTTACTGTATTTTTCCAAAGGAACTGAAAGATCACCGTGTACGCAGTAGGGTTCAAAAGTTATCACGACAAATTGGATTACGATTAAATGGTTGCCCCTGTAAACGTGGCACACAGTAGTAGAATCCTACACAGAATTTCTGTATTCTTTGTTTGTTTGTTTGTTTCTATTTTCCTTCTCAATGGCAAATATTGCCTATGGTAGGCCCATGGGAAATCTGTGCTCTCACCTAGGAGACCTGACCTTAAAGCAGCTGCAGAAGATGCAGCTTATATTTCAGCTGTCTGTGTTTTTATGGTTTGCAGTTATTGACATTTAAAAAGTAGGAAAGATCTAGCCATAAATACTGTAGCAGTAGCTTTTTTCAGTTGCTTTCTACTTGTTAGATTCATTTTTTATTTTTTAGATAATGTGACCTGTGGCGAGTAAAGAGAATTATTGAGGGTTTTTGTTAAACGGGTTTTCATCTTGACCTGCTCCTCCTTAGCTTGTACACAGTATAGTAAGACTGTTACTAGAAATCCTAAATTCCTTATGACTGCTCTGGAATTCTTTCATTTTTATTATTATTTTTTAAATTTATTTGCTTTGGACAACATTTTGGCCCTGCAGATTCTGCTTATGATATTAAATGTATGTAGTGATAGGAAAGTACTAGCAAGGTGACTGACTGTGCTGAGAACAAGACTTAGCTGCATCTCCTACACTTGTCTTGCATATCTACTGAGCAATCTCTGTCCTAAACTGCTTTCTTCAGCATTATCTGTAAGTCTCATTAGGGAAACAAGGTTGTATTTACACATATTTTAATTGGTGTATTAGTCCTGCATTTTTGTGCATTATTAAAGCTAAAAAGTAAAAAGAAAGAGATTTAAAAGAATTATTTATGTTTGGGGTGCAAGAGATTTTAAAGATGTTCTGTTTTCTTTTATCTGTGTACTTCTCTGAGCAGGAGGATATGAGTTTGTGTTTATTAACATTCAAAATTAGACCTTTGATTTATCACACTAAGCAGAAATTTCAAGATGTGAGGCTGTGAACCATCACTTCTTCTTTATCATTCAGTTACCCTTCATTAAGAGATTATCATTTTGTGATGCTTCTATTTTTGGACATTTTTATTATTTTTGTAAATGTTGAGTATCCACTTCTTTTTGGCTCTGGTTATTGTTTATCGGTACTGTAACTCATTGAAATTGCAACCCAGACCACCTGCAGTGGGCATCTAAAGAAGTTCACAGATGGAAGATGTTTGCCCGAGTCCCCCAGGGTGCTTGGCAAGGTGAGCACTTCTAAGGCAGGCAGGTATATGTGTACTTGCCAGCAGATGTGCTGCCCAGGAATGCAGTTCTTTTGGAAACTTGCAGATTGTCCATCCCTCATAGCAAATTCATTAAAAGTAGCTCCGGGTGAAAAACAACCTATCTGTGTTATTACACAAAAGTCTGTCTGGAGGTTTTTTTTTACTGTGTGGGATACAGTTCCTGCAATCAAAGATCCACTCACATACACATAAAGTGCCATTGCATCCTTGTTGCAAGCAAACAAGGAATGGACTGACTAAATGTTACCTTACTCTGGAATCAAGAAGTACCTCAGCAAACAACAACAGAAGACTGTTTATCTGCATGCATACTAAAATTCATAGGTTGGACTGGAAACACAGTGTCTCTCACCAGCATTAAGTTAATTTAGTTCTAACAGCAAACAAGACATGCTGTGTGAAACATCCAGTTCACAGTTCATCCCCTGACAGATGTTTATCCTAGTGTGGTATTTTGGACTGGTTAGAAGTGCAGAAGCCCCTGAAAGGATATGAAAGCACAATATGCTCTTCAGAGGACCAAAATAAATCTACAATTTCTTTCTGAAGTCCCACACAGCACACTAAAAGAACACAGAAATAGATTAGAGACTTTTTTCTTTTTTTTTTTCTCCCACATCAGAGCTTGGCTGGATCTCCAAAGTGTATGTGAATCCACCTGCAGTTGTAAGGCATGCAGAACAAATTCAGAAATGGCACACTGTGAAAGGTAATTGGCAAGTAAGTGCTCTTTTTATGCATTCTGTTCCTGTATTTTTAAAGCAGTCACTCTCCCTCTCTAAGCTGAAATATTGGATTTTCCTCAAGATGCATGTAAACTTAAAAGATGTGCTTGTCCATGTCTTATTTTAATAATTTGTATTTGATGATGATGGGATGGAATAAGGTGACGCATTTATCCAAACAAGTTAAAAACCTTATAACTCATGAGTGGCAAAACCGCAAATGAATTTCAGTCATCTTTATTCATGAGTGGATTAAGTTGTATATTACTATCCCACCACATTTATTCTGTATCCTAGGCAGACTTCTCTGCACACAGCCTCCTTATTTTTTAATTTAAAGCTGTAAGATATGATCATGGTCCCTGTCAGGTTTGACCTACCTGGATGACTGTTGCTTACTTAAACATTCCCAACAAGTGTGATTTCTTTGCTTAACTAGTTATTGCTGAAAACTCAAAAATCCTGACTGGCTATGGTACTTGATGTGTGTTTCTGTGTGTATAGCTACGGTGGACAGAGCTGGGTGTAGGAATGCCATAGATAGGCAGTTTGGCAGCATTGAGCAAGGCCAAGGTCTGAGAAATGCTGTGGAGTAGGCCCAGAGCTCCCAGTGAGTGCTCAGCTGTGGGCTGTAGGTGGTGTTTGAAGGACAACTTGATTCTTGGTTCAGTGGGCAAAATGTGGTGTTCCTTCCGTCTCCACACTGAACAAATGGTTTCCTTTCAGCAGTGACTGATAAACTGGAAGCAGGAGGTAGGAAACAATAAAGGAGCAATCTTTATATTGCAACTTTATAGAATGAAGCTGCAATCACTTATTTGTACTTAATTTCCCCCCCCCCAAAAAAAAATAAAAAATAATTCAAAGTAGTTGACATTCTGAGCTGGCAGGCAGCTGTTCTGGGGTGGCCAAAGCTACCTTCATGATCAAATCTGAAGTATTAATAGGATGAAAGTAGAAATCAGTTAGAAGCAAGCGGTCAAGCTTAGACTATCAGAGGCCAGTAACAGTTCATTACTCAGCTCAGTACCCCCAGAGCAGCTTTTGATGTAATATTTGGTAGAGGTTCAGAAAGGAGACACTCATTAGCTAAGTGGGAAAGGTTTACAGGCTGGCCTGCCTCTTAAGATTTGCAGAGCAATACCTCCATGCAGAAACAAGCTTTGCCTCATATGCTGACAAACCATGAAATAGAATGGAATGGTCAGGAAGAAATTGTCCTTGATATTGTCGTATAGACTCAGATGGCCTTCAGTGCCATCTCACTCCTCGTTGGACAAGTGCCAAGCAAAAGATGTCTGTTTTTAGTGAAGCCATCGCTGCAAATAAGCATTCGCTGGAAGACCTCCAGCGAGTATTTCAAAATAATGTTCCAAGTTCAATTTTTGTTCAGCGACAAACCTTGAAAAATATTTGGATGAGGTTTTGTTCCATTCTCTGATCAATAAGTCTTTTAATGTTCTATAGCATTTTCCTCTGAAGACTACTGTAGCCATGTAATTTAGCTCTTAGTCTGTAGCTTTGTTTTTCTAATTTTGTTTTGTTTTTCACCTATTAATTACATATTTCTTTTTTAGTCCCAGATTCACACAAATCAAAGAAACATCTGAAGTCTAGACTCTTAATTTTAAACAATTGTGGGTTCTTAACTTTCACTGCTTCCATGTTTTATTTTCACAGAAGGACAGGCATACAGGTGTATTACTGTATGAGGGCTGCACTGAAAGTAATGCCTCCAAATTTATTTTATTGACACATGACATCAGAGGCAGATGTTGTGGCATGGCAGTAAAGGTTGAACCTTCCTGCCAATATTGCATTACACTTTGTTGCTGTGTGACAGATGGCAGCAGAGGGGCAGTCTGACAGAATGGCATCTGATGTGGAAGTGCATATGAAGCAAAGCTGTGGCATTGAATGCCTCCGTGTGGAAAAAATGGCACCCACTGACATTCATCAGTGCTTGCTGAATGTTTATGGAGACCAAACAGAGAACGTGAGCACAGTGAAGTGGTGGGTGGTGTGTTTCAGTAGTGGCAACAGCAACAGTGGGTCACCTGTATTGGTGCAGATTTTTATGAGCACAGCGTGCAGGATATTGTTCATCACTAGCAAAAATGCATTGCTAATAGTGCTTGAGAAGTATTTTGAAATGTAGTGAGAATTTGCTCTATCAAATAGAGTTTTATTTTGCTCTTTGTATTTATTGTCGTTTCTCTGGATATAAATATGAGGCGTTAGTTTTGGAGCGACCTGTGAACGAATTGCTGACATGTACATTCATATGCTTATTTACAATTGTAAATCTATGCTCCTTTTCAAGCATAACTTAATGTGTTTTTGGTTTTTTTTTTTTCTGAGTACAAATGCTTGTCTGATTCTTAGTCCTGTTTGGTACTTAGCTTCTGCAACAAAAAATGGAGTTGAGCCTTCGATTCTGAGACAGCTGACTTTTGATTCCAAATCCTTTCTGTATTGTCATATATTACTTAAGATACAAACAAATTTCTGCCATCCTTGTCTGTCATTCTTTTTGTATCCTCCATATATATAGTATACTTTTCCTAATTCTTAGAGTGAGAACCAGGCTTTGGATTCCTATTTCTAAGTCAGTTTGGCTTTGGAAGCATGAACTGAAATATTATATTCCTTTCTTCGCTCCCTTTGCAGGCTGCTTGGCTGTTGAAAGCTGTCACCTGCATAGACCTTACCACTCTCTCTGGTGATGATACTCCTTCAAACGTTCACAGACTGTGTTTTAAAGCTAAGCACCCCATCAGAGAGGATCTACTGAAAGCCATGGATATGCATGATAAAGGTTTGATTGCTTTTGTTCTGTTAGGTTTGTAGAGAAAATGGCTGTTTTCTCAGTATTTTTTTAGTTTTCAGAAAGGTGTACAAATGACCTCTTCTATTATGGGAACAGTTAAGGCAGATAGTTTTGCTGAACAGCTGTGAGAGAAGTAGGTCCTACGTGGTCTTATTCAAAGAAACTGCCTTAACTTTTAAATGCATCATACTTATTCTTTTGAGTTAATACAGTAATGTGAAGAGGATAAGTTCATTCACAGTTTGGAAACCAAACTAAGGCATGGGCTCAGGTAAACACTATAAGTTACGGTGCATAATGTACAAATTTGATACAGAAACCATAAGTGTGTAACTTCAGTGTATCTTTTAATAACAGTGCGTTAAGGTGAAACAAATTAATCTGCTGATGTGCTTTCTGATTTGCAAAAGTGGGGGATTTCATGCATAGCTGATGCTGCTCTGCATTACTCTTTAAGGACCCCTCCAACCTAAGCCATTCTGTAATTCTGTGATACTCAAGAGTCTGCCACTTTACTTGTCAGAAAATAGGTATTCCACATGTGTAAGCACGTTATTTCTCCTTCAGAAAACATTATCTGTTATCTGCTTGTTTGAGTAATTATGATAGGTGACATCTTTGCAGCCCAATCTGCTTTAAGGAATAATTCCTCTAGTATGTAGTTATGTGTGAAACACATATACCCCTACACTTCTGAAGTTCCCAACTAAGCCAACAGAGTTGGAGGGGAAGCAGAAAGCCCTTATCAGCTGGTGGTAAAGCATTGACAACAAGTTGACGTTACTGAAGTAGGCTCCATCTGAAGTTCAGATTTTACACCTGAGACTGAACCTGATAAAACTTCAGAGCAAACTGAGACTCTCAATATAAAACTTCTTTAAATCAGAGCAACACCTCAGAATTTTTCTAGATGTGATCACTGATGTGCCAGTGAATATGATTTGGCTTCTGTCCTAGCATGTTGGCCTTACAGTCATCTAAGAAAAAGAAAAAACTCAGTGACGTGTGCAGCATGCTTCTACTATCAAAATATTTGGATACTTTTACGCAGGCTTTCATCCACTACTTGAAGTTACATGATGTAAAACCAAGGAGGAAGGTCAGTTCTCTAGTTTCAAGCCATACATGTGAAATATCAAAGCTTAGCCTTTTTTTTTCACTAAACTTAGATTTATGGACTTTTCAGGTGGTTGAAAGATTAAATATGAGAGCAATTATCTGAGACAGAACAGTGTTTCAACTAGAAAAGCAGTAGAACTGCATTAACATAAAGACTGCTCTGTTGCTGCTGGGCTCAGCCTGGCTCAACAGGTAAGGACAGAGCTTGGCAGCAGTTTTTCTCACAATATGCTGCTGACTAAGCATGTCTTAAATGTATGTCATTAAACAGGGAATCTGTTGGTAAAAAAAAACACTGAGAGGTGCTTTAACTCCTGATAATGCTAGTTTGTTCCCAGGCACAAGTGGAGGACTATGAGGGAGGTAAAAATATGGAGAAGCACTTACATGAATATCCCTGTTGTATGTCCTTAAGGTTCTTGTGAGAATACGAAAGTGGGAGAGAGGTGTAAATAACATACCTGTGTTCATTATATGCTGTGCATATAATTGTGTCTCTCGCAGGTATTACTGTTGCAGCAGTTTGTGTATATCCTGCAAGAGTCACTGATGCTGTTAACGCCCTGAAGGCTGCTGGTTGTAATATACCAGTAGCTTCAGGTAAGTGTTTCCTTAAAACAATCGATTATATCTTTTAATAGATACATAGTTGTGGAGCAGTATTATCTACGTGTGTAAAATATGTAGAAAAATCTGGAAGTTCAGATTTGCTTTTGTTTCAGAGTAAGGTGAAAAGGAAGCAGGTGGAAGGAAGGGAACTGTGGGGAGGATTTGCTTATGGTTTTTGTGGTCATTTGTTTTGTTTCAACTGCAGGCTTATCAGGAATGCCAAGTCTGTTATCTGGAAGCTCAGCAGAGAGGTTCTTAAGGTATACAAAGCCGTTTCCCTCAGATGAGTAGAAGAAGTTGGTTGAGATAGTGTGTCTGACAAAGAATCAGTAGACAAGAAGTAGATTACTCTAATACATATCTTGGGTTTTCTGGTTTGTGATTTTTTTGTTGTTGTTGCGTTGTTTTTTTTCTCATCGTCAGTTTTTTGGCTTCTAAGTATGGTCCTACAGGCTGAAATCATTGAAGATTTGCTCAGAGGCAAGGGTTATTGCTGGCTGAGCAGCCTGCAAGTTCAGGACTTGTACTCATAAATTTCATAGTGCCAGTTCTTTTCTAGTCACCACATGATAAACAAGTTCTGAATCTACTGTAGGCAAAAAGTAGGATCACAGAATTATGTGGTTTGGATGGGAGCTCTGGATGTCATTTAGTCAAACCTGTTCAAAGCAAGGGCTAACTTTGAAGTTAGATCAGGTGTTTTATGCTAACATCCGTGTTTTCTGGGTTTTCTTTTCATTTCTTTATGTTGTGAAAGGAAAAAAAAAAATGCTACCTGCATTTATATCACAGAGAATCTCTGACAAAGCCATTATTATTTCTATTTCCAAAGTTACTTTTGGTTTTGCACTTAAACATCATAAAGGAAATTCTAAGTAGACCTCATTAAAAAGTTTTTGCTGTAATGTGTTTTAGTCATTTAATATATTACTGGGACTTAACTCAAAAGACTTCTTAAAAAATTGGGGAGAATTTTAAAATTATCTTTTGTTTCACATACGAGTTCACTCCTTCTTTGTTCAGTTCTATAGATATTGTGCTTTTGTAGGACATTTTGGAAAAATTTATGTCTTGTGAAAGAAACTTTTTCATAAGAAGTAGTTAGTATCTGCTGGATGGAGGATAGGATCATGTGCCTTTAGGTTTTTGATTTGTGATAGGGATTTAAAAAAAAAATCAGTGGCTTTCAAATTCTTTGGTGTATTAGAAGTACACACAATTTTATGTCCAATTTATAAACCAAACTTTCTCCCCCCTAACTCCGTTTCCATCCTTGCTAGTGGCTGCTGGGTTTCCATCTGGACAAACTCCTCTAGAAACGAAACTGGCTGAAATAAAGCTGGCTGTGCAGTATGGTGCCAGAGAGATTGACATTGTCATTAGCAGGAGCCTGGTGCTGAGCGGCCAGTGGGAAGGTAAGGAAGCTAGACCTATGTAAGTGTATGTGCTAGTTCTGTCTCTTCCCCCCCAGTTTCTACATTATTAGTCCTTAAAGACTTTCTGATAATCTGGGACACTGAACTAAATCAAAATAATTTTACTAAAGCATGACAAATTACCAAATTTCTTTTAAAAAATGCTGTTATGGGTTGGGAATTCAGAATTACTTTATGCTTTAAAGATTGGGTCTGTTGTTTCTATACTTTTGAGCATTTTCCATACAGAATTAAAAAAAATAGCAAGTGAAATGGAGGAGAAATGAATGCCAACAGTCTTTGAACAGTTTTGTTAAACCCCCCAAGGGATTGCTAATGTAAATTATATCTTATTAAATACACATTTCAGTTCTTGACAAAAATGTGTATTTTCGTTGTTTTCTTTTTCAAAGTTGAGGGTACAAATTGACTGTTCATATTATTTTTGATGTTCCTGTGCCTGTAACCTGCAACTAATTAGTAAGAACAATAATGCTGAAGATGGTTTTTGCTCTAATTGCCTCCTTAATGTACTGTGAACAGTTTGCCTTAAGTGCTGACAATGCTCCTACAACTAATCTCAGTGTGAAGGTAAACACATCATTGTCTTGGAATAAATTTTCCATTTAATTGTATAATGCAGTACTGTAATAGCTTGTGTGATTGGAAGACTCCATAAAAACACTGGTACCTGTTTATGGTTAAGGAAGTAGAGACATCACAGTAACAGATCATGTTTTCTGATTTTGGGCTTCTTTCAGTTATCATTTAGAACTGAATTTGAAAAACAGACTAACAAACAAAACACCTGAAGTTTGTGCATCTGTTTCTTCAAGACTCATATCTTGTTTGCCATTTGGTCTTACATCTTGATCTCTTTTATCTCCATCCCTTTACCTTGAAATAAATGCACGTTTACAAATGTCTGGCTTCTTGAAGGGAGACACTGTAGTCATTTGTTTCTATCTTAAGTGATTCAGATTCAACCTCAGAAACTGATTGAAGGTGGACACTAGGAGACTGAGAACGATGGTTCAAATTCTGTGTTAGCCAACATTAAGACTGTATGCACGCTTTCCTATGCCATGCTTGTGACTTGTAACAAACCTTATGTACAGTTAGAAAGCATGTTGCTCCTCCAGTGGAGATATTTAACAGGTCTTAGACATAAAATGTCCTAAGTCCAGTGGAGAGAGGAAAAAAAAAGTCCATCACACTGAACTTGGAAAACAGCTTGAATTTGTGTCTAAAAACATCTGCTGCTTTCTTACAAAAATTTCTGACTTAACCATTCTTATTGTGCTTCAGACTTTGTAGTACATTGCTGTTTAATGCAAGTTGCACAGAGCAGAGGTCAGAAAGTTAGGGCATGCAGGCAGTTACAAGTGCAAGCTCTAGATTATACAGCCCAGAATTATGAGAAGAAGCCCAGTATTGAGGAGAAGCACAGGTCGATTCAGAGAGAGAGTATTTACCAGTGATGAAATGAACTGGACATACAGTGTGAGTTTTTTTCTGTATGGGAATTGAACTGTTTCTGGTGATTCTAAGTCAAGGGAGGGAGGACACAGACATAAGAATGGTGGATCTAGTATAAAGCTATCAGTTTACTAAATAAATAAGTTAAGATTGATATTTGATTTGCTATTTATAGTCTTCTATCTACAGCCAAGGTCAGAACAAGCTCGAAAGGCATCCATATCTTGGTAGTGGTTAGTTTACGTATCTTTTACTGAGGGTAGCTTTTATGGCTACCTTGCAGTTATGATAGAAAGTGTTTATATTTAAAACCCAAGTATATTTTTATGATTATTTTGTTATGTTGTCATTCTTTGAGACCTCAGATACTACTGACAAATAAATATGGACCTGGTAGAGTACCTTTATCTTAACTGTTTGTGTATTTCTAGCTTCATATATTTTTAGTCTGTTCCATAGTTGGGGTCACTATGATAGAGTAGTATTGCTCTGTGGTTTGTTTCAGAAGCCTGTACTGTTAGTGAATATTTTATTGCATGAGTGTGCAACATTTTGGGTTGCCTTGGCTGCATTAAGTGAAGAAGTCTTGGGCCATAAATACATGGGCTGCTCCAAAAGTAATGCCTCCCATTTATTTTTGTGGAAACCACAACAGATACAATATGCACAGTAACTCTCTATGAAAGTCAGAGTTTGATAGAGCAAATTCTCAGCTACAAAACACTATTTTTCAATAGTCACCAGCATTAGCTGTACATTTTTGCCCATGATGAACAAGAGCCTGCATGTCATGCTCATCAAAGTGACCCACTGTGCTGTTGCCACTGCTGAAACGTACCACCTGCTGCCTCACCGTGCACACATTCACTATTTTGTCTCTGTAAATGTTCAGCAAGCATTGATGAATGTCAGTGGGTGCAACATTTTTTTGTCATTGAGAAGAATTCAGTGACACGCCTTTACTTTATACACTCTTCCATGTCAGATGCCATTTTGTCAAACTAGCCCTCCACTGCCATCTGTCACATGGGAACAAAATATAATGGAGTATTGGTGGGAAGGTTGAATCTCTACTGCCATGCTTTCAACATCCATTTCTGATGTCGTGTGTCAATAAAGTAGGGGGCATTACTTTTGGAGCAGCCCTCATAAAATACAGTTAATGCATATAAGTAACAAAACTTATTTTAACTGTTCGTATTTTTATTAAAACCTTAAAAAAAAAAAAAAAAAGAGCAACAAAACCATAAAACTAGTGGGATATTTGACCCTGTTTTTGTGAAACTAGCTTATCAGTTTGGTTTGATGGCAGTGGTTGCCATTCTGAGTGAGGTCTCAAGGTGCTCATAAGAGAATTTTTGATGAAATTTTCCTGAAGAGAAAATGTGCACGGCTGCATATTTTGGACTCTTCACAGGACCATGTCATAACTTGAGCTAACACTGCACTGTGCCCTACCCTTCCACTGGTTCCAGGTGAAACAGCTCTAACAGAACTACGATATTTGGTTGTTACCAAGAGATGAATGCGTGCCCTGGGCTGGGCTCAGGACTGAGCCATTGTCATGATGGCACAGGGCAGTGGGCAGGCTGCATTTTGAGCAGTTTTTTAGTATTATTGAGAGTCTTTATGTCACTTGAAATATATTTTCTAGATCTGATCTTTATGAGGTAATTGTAATGAGGTTTATAATAGTGCTGAATGTGAAAGCAGCTTTATTGGGCAGCTAATTCAGGTTGGAAAAGAACCTTAAATGTTTATGAGCTTATATATACATACCTTTTACAAGCAATTTGCTTTTGGAGCAATAATACTTTACAATAGTTTACTCAACCGTTGTCTTGTATTACTTAATGAAGTATGAATTAAAAATCAGAATTTAGATTATGTCTTTAACCACAACTTGTGGAACCTGTAGGTAAAGTGTGTTGAAGCTGACCAACCAATTACTGAAAGAAGCTGGATATATTCTCCGTACATATCGTGGTGTTGCTCTACCTTCTGAAACTATCTGAGGTTTGATAAAATTACTTCTAGTTTCACAGCTTTTAGCAAACACTGGATATACCACAATGTCACAATACTTGACAACCACTAGTAATGGCTGATTATCATTTACTCTGTGTCAATTGAAGTTTCTTGTAAAAAAAGGGGAATAAAAATAGAATAGTCTATGAAGTTAGAGCATGACTGCATCCATGAAATACATGGCTGTAGCCTCATTATGAAAGCTGCCTTTCAATCCTTGCTAATAACTATTCAGTTATGAATGCAAGGTCTTTTTTCAGTAATTGGGGCCCCCCTTTATAGGCTGCAGAGATAATATATATACTACCTGATCTGCAGACTTGAACAAGACTCTACATATTGTTTGAAAATATTTTATTTGAATTTTCCATTTTCTAGATTTGCAAGCTGACTTGGGACTGCAAAGTCTGCATAATTTCTTTCTTATACTGTCAGCAGCAGCTCAGACTCCTGAAGCCAAATTCTGTTTTCAGTTTCATGTGAATCACTGGAGCCTGGAGTTGCACATATGTGGCTGAGAGCAGAACTGATAGAGTCGTGTTGTGCTGATAGCCTTGTGCTTGTCATTTTGTTAACAAACCTGCCATTAATGTGCAAGACAGAAGGCATTCCAGCTCATTTTCCAATTTCCTAACATGATTACCTTGATCTTTTGGTCTAACAGAAATTGAAACATCATCCCTTCTCATCTCAGTTTCTACCCTTAACATCAGTCAATGTGAATGACTAGTTGAAAACAGTGAATAAACTGAATTTAAAGAAAAAAAAAAAGTGTTTTTATCACCGCATTTTTTTTAGAAGAGCAGTTTCATAAAAATTAAGCTGTTTTTATTCTTCCTTTAACAGTTTCATACTCTGTGTAGGAGACATGTATTATTCCCTTCATTTGATTTTAAGACAAATGTATTGGACCAAATCAAAATACCATTTAGACAGTCTAGGGCAGATCATAGCCAGCATTAATTGATAGGGATGCTTGCTTGAGAGACGTGAAGGGAGAAGCACATTTTCTCTGGTGTATTTAATAACTGCTAAATATCAATGGAATGGTTGTGCTGAATATTTGGAAATAAAGTAATGCTTAAAAAAAAAAAAATCATGTCACCATCCAGCACTAATATTTTATAACAGTGCAATTGAAAATATTGCTATGAAAATATTTTTTCTCTCCTATAAAATCTGATCTTTTCTGGCTTATATATGCATACAATAAAAATGGATTTGAGGTTCATAAAAGCATTAAGGTATGTTAAATAAATGGGAGCAAAGTAGAATATAATTCTTGTATCACACTCATTTTAACTGCTTAATCAGTTGAGGTACTACAGACTGCAGCAATGAGCATCTGGCTGTAAACATAATCTATATAGTATAGCTTGCTTTGATTTTGGTTTTGTTTCTTTTCTTTGTGTGTGGTTTTTCCTGATTTAACATAGGTAGTGTCAATGCTGTATTTGAGATGCTACACGCTATTGGCCATTTGCTTTCAGAGCTCTTCATTATTATTTCTACTGTTTTTAAGAGTCAAAAGAAGAATCTTTTGCAAGCTTTTAGCTCATAGCTGAGAATATGCCTCTGGATTTTCCTGTGTTGGAGTTTCCTAAATGCTTTCTGCCACTTCTGCTAACCAGAGCAGCTCCACCTGCTCTGCCAGCTACTACTGGTGTTCTGCAGAGGACAGAAGTACGCCAGGAGCCACAATGTCCAGCTCTGCTCCTGTCACTAAAGAGCTTGAGAGAACCAGGTAGCTAGAAGATTGAAATTTGGCAGCACAACCTGTCCTAAAAGTGGCCCTGGACTTCTTGAAAAAGTGAGTGTGTATTCAAGTGTGATTGACTTCAATCACTCTTCAGTCTTTTGAGAGGAAGTTTTGAGTTGATCAAGTAATTTCTCTTTTTATTTAAATCTGATTGAGTACCCTTTTTAATTTTGAAAGCAGTAGGAGTTTATGCATTTTTTCTGAAACAAAGTAGTGCCTGCTTGACGTGGGTCAAGGTGTTCAGTCTCGGGTGCTCTGGATAATTTTCTCTTTCCCAGAGATAGTTGGGTTTCTATTCGTACTTTTACTGTAGGGTTGAGAATATCCTGTGAATGCCAAATACTCAATGCAATAATTGATCTGTGAATAGAGTGTGAATAAGAGAGGAGTATTTATTACCTACACACCTGCCCCATTAACGCATGCCTACTGTTCCACCACCTCAAGTAACCTGACAGGCACAGATGATTGAAGATCTTCAGTTGTTCCTGTCTGTGGGTTGATGCATGCTGTCAGATAGAGAGACTATTCAAATGATCTTGGCACTAATTGCATATAAATGTACTTTCCAACAATAGGGAGAGTGCTGTAGCTGCAGAACTAACTTCGGTGAACAACAGTTACGGAAATAAAATTTCTTTTCATGGAATCCAAACTAAATGTACATTTTGTTGATTTTGTTTTGACATTTTTGGCAGTGTAGCTTAAAGGTAGAGAAAACTTGAGTCTTTTCTTGTTGTTACCGAAACTAGAACATGAAAGCTGCTTTTTCTGGCTTTCCAAAGGCTTCAGGAAAAAGTCACTCCACAAAAACAAACTGCGTTTGGATCTAACACGAGTAGCATTATCAAATGCACAAGAAAATAGCACAGGTGCTTTGTATTTCCTTTTTTTTTGAGTCTTGATTTGATGTAGAAGGTTTTGGAGTATCATCAATTGATCAATAAAACATGTTAGACCGCATGCTATTACTGATTAATTCACACCTTTGGTACACAGTAAGAAACAAGGTGAAGCCTGGTGTCTATAAAGGGACTTGCTAAGTACGTTAGCCAGTTGTCTACTAATGTGTGTAGTATGTCTCTGAGGACCACCGCAGTGATCCCAGCCCCAGCAGCCTGGTATACCCACAGCAGCAGTAGGACTCGGCAACATGGCAGGTAAAGGAGGTGTCCAGCTGGCGAGCCTTCTTCGGGACTTGTCTGGGGACTGAAACAGTATGCTGAAAAATAATCCCATACTTCAAAAAAATTTGTTAAAGCTGTGTTTTTTGCCTTCTATAAATGAACTTTTCGATTTTGTGTGCTTAAAGATTGAGTATAGTTTCTGAAAAGGACTCTTATAAAAGATACTGTTTGCTTATTTTGCCTTTTTTTTTTTCTTCTAATTCAGATTCCAGAAACGTTGGCAGCACTCTGTAAGAGCTGCTTTTCTCCCTGCCACTAGTATTAGATGAGCCTTAATCATCCCCAAGTGGCCAGATTGTAGCAGTTATATTATTTCCATAACTTCTCACTTTTTTAATCTCCGGAAGCTTAAAATTTTGTGGGGGCACTGCTGAATTTTACCAAAAAGGGATGGGACATTTTCCTTGTGCTCCCATTTCCTGACCAGGTCTGCAAGTTCTGCTTTTTTTAAGGAACTCAGTAGACTCGAGTCCTCAGTAACCCCCTGAGGGGAGTTCACAGATGCAGATCCATGCAGAGCTGTTGAGCCATGAAGGTGCTACCTCGGACCTCAGGCTCTTTTCACCAGGGGTGTTAGCAGCCTGTGTTGATGAGGCTGCATGTTTTCAGGAAACTCATGTTTCCACAAAGCTTAAGATGGAATTTAAATACCTAAACTAACTCCTAATTGGCCTTCCTGAGACTGCCCTATGGAACTGGGGGGTAGGATGGGACTTAATAGAGATGAGGTGCCTCCAGGAGTAGCAGTTGGAAACCAAGGGAAAGATGTCAGGGAACCACAACTGGCACCAAGGTCTGTAATTAGACAACTTGGTCACACCTTTGTTGTCTCATAGGCTGAGATCTGCAAAGATGACTGTAGGGAACAGGGAGTGTGGTGACATGATGTGCAAGGGGAAACGAAACTGTGCCTGAGTACTAATTCAATTTATTACCAAATTTATTACTTGAAAAGCTGTTTTAAAATCAATTTTGTACATTTTTTGCTCCTGATGTATTCATGAGTGTTTGGCATACTGTGCACATTAGTAGTTTTGAGAGAAGCGACATTAATAGCTATTAAGTTCAGTCTGAAATTGTGTGGCATTGTTAATTACCTCCAGTCATGTAATTTATTGAACTTACAAAACTTAAGTTCTTGAGTGCTATGACTAATTATAAGATTGGAAATTAATCCAGAAGTGGAAATTACAGCCATACTTGAAAATGTCTCTCAGCCAACTTTGATCATTTTCAAATGCTTTTATCCACAGGTCTGTATGAGGAGATCCGCCAGTGCCGTGAGGCCTGTGGAGAAGCTCACATGAAAACAATCCTAGCAACAGGTGAACTAGGATCCCTTGCTAATGTCTACAAAGCCAGTATGATCGCTATGATGGCAGGTAAATATAAGTCTTCTTCTTTTTAAGCTAAGAATGTCTTTACTATATTATTCATGAAGCGTAAAAAATTCTCATTGTGAAAGTTTAGTTTTGCCTGTAGTAGGCAAAAAATTGTTATGCAGCAATTACTGAAGTTGCAGGTGTAGTAATGAAGTGTCATTTGTTTTGTGTAATGTACAAAAAGGTATGAAATTTAAATAACACTTAGAACTGCTAAAGAACAAGATTTGTAGGAGAAATAGCGTTTGTTTTCAGATGTCTGATCTTTGGTATTTTTAATAAAGACACATACATTTGGGGCAGATAGACTTTATCCATGTAGTGTCAGTGAGTGTACAGATGTAGTGTGAGCAGGTGGGTTGTTAGCCTGTTATAAATGCAGCTGGGCACTTCCTTGAGAAGACTTATGCTGACTACAACTGTTTTTGGTTTGTGATCACTCCTAATCACCTCATCAACAAGAGTATGGTTTGAGTAATCCAACTATGCTGGAGATTCATCAAGAGGAAGAGCACCAGTGATGCAGCAGGTGGTGGGATGCTCTAGATTATAACTGTTTTTAAATGGCACCCTCAAAAGTGGGACATTTAATACTGACAGTTAAATGATGTTCAGTTTTGCCTACTTTAAACAAGACTTCAGGGCTGTGATTTAATACAATCTTTAAGATGCAAAATGTTCTTTGGACTCTGTTCTAAACATCTGCTTCTTCCACCATACTTGAAAGAGTGCACCTCTGTATTTGCAGAGGGAAATGTAAGGATATCCCAAAAACCACCGTTAGACCATATTCTAACTAAATTTTGGGTCATTTTTGTCGATTTTTTTTTTCCTACTGTATGCACTTCAGACCTGGAATTTCTTATTTTAGGGGAAGAAAAGGTCATTTGAGTGTCTTGTCTGTATTTAAATAAATATTCAACTTGCAGCTGACCTCCTTGTCTTTTTACACAGTGCTGTGCTTATCTACCTTAGATGGAATGAGAGGCTTTTATGTTTTTTACTTGCTCAGCTACAAAGTCAATTAGTATCATTAAGTATATAGTACAGTATTATGCTAGTAAATATTGTTTTTAATTAGAAGAGGTACAAGAAATGCTTTTCCTGTCATTTATATAATTATAATTATAATCTTTTTTTTTTATTATTTATTTAAGAAATGTTTCAGATTGTAAAGCATTAGAACATTTTCAGATTTTTTGCTGGTGTAGTTTTTTTGAAATACAGCAGATGGCTCTATTGTTAATGATTTTCCTTGCATGGTTATTCATTGTATGAGATACCTATCCATACGAGAACGTGCAGTAATTCCCTTATTTCAGTCTCTTGCTTTTTCTTTGTGGGTAAGTATAAAAATAAGAACGTATGTACATGCATTGAAGGCCAAATTTTCAAACTCTGACTTGTCAGAGTAGCTGAGAACCTCAAATTCCAGATATTTGTTTGATTTGCATACTTGTAATGTTTTGGGGAGAAAGAAACTTGGCATGGTAGGTTTAAGCTCTCGCTTTTGTGACCATATGTTTTTACAACTGGTACTCTGATTTAAATGAAAGAAAGAAAAGAAGGTTTAACAAGGATCTTGTGGATATGCCGGATCCTGGGGGCTTTTATTTGAAATAAATGTGAAAAAGCAGCACCTCTGATAAACCTGATGCTAGTGACTAATTACATGAGAGGAAATGAGTTACACGGTATATTGGATTTGATTGCAAAACTGGCTTTAGAAGTTTTCTCTGCCTCTGGCCACTTGTTCTTGTCCTTGAACCAAAATTTGCTTCTCCTTCAGCTATGTTGTTAGAAGTGCTCCGTAAAACTGTGTTATCAAAATTGATAGCTGAAAATTACTTCGGAAGGGGATAACTAGTTTTGGGGTTTTTTTGATTGATGATGTTTTGTTTTTTTTTCTTTTAAAACTGTCACCATCTTAGGAACCTAGTTTACTGCCTTGCCTTTCATGCAGTTTGATCAGTGCAAGTGAGTATGCGGCATACACTCCTTAACCTCTTTCACTATGCACTGCATAATGCAAGTCTACTGTGTAGGGGCTACAAAATCATAGCCTTGCATATGTTCACATTACTGTTGTTGAGCATACACACTCACACGTAGGTCCTGAAGCACTGAGCTGTTGTAGCATGTACATGTAGCATTTAAAATACGTGTACGTAGCTTGCTCCAAAAGTAATGCCTCCTATTTGTTTCCAGGGAAACTACAGCAGATACAAAGAGCATGATAACACTATTTGATAGAGCAAAGTCTCAGCTACAAAGCATTGTTTTTCAACATAGTTGCTACTATTAGGTATGCATTTTCACCAGTGATAAACAAGCCTGTGTGCCGTACTCTATAAAAATCTGCAGCAGCAAAGGTGATCCACTGTTGCTGTCACCAGTACTGATGTGCACTACCCACCACCTCGCTGTGCTCACATCCACTGTTTCATCTCCAGAAACATTCAGCAAGTGTTGATGATTGTCAATGGGTGCCATTTTTTTTCGCATGGAGGAATTCAGTGACATCCCTTTGCTTCATACACACTTCCATATCAGACACCATTTTGTCAAGCTGCCCCTCCTGCTGTCATCTGTCAAACAGCAACAAAATATAACAGAATATTGTCAGGAAGGTTCAGTCTCTATTGCCTTACCACCAACGCTCACCTTTCACATTGTAGGCCAGCATAATAAAATAGCAGACGTTACTTCAGAGCAGCCCTCCTATTTCCCATCTGTCTCATTTGTGAGACTCAGAAGGCTGGAGACAAAAGAGTGTCACAATGCAGATTTAGCAACAGCCACATGATTAAAAAGCTTGCCTGGGATGTCTGGCACCTGGGCTCACCGACAGGTCTCCCACACAAAGGTGAGTTTTATTTGTGTTTGCCAGTAAGGGTATCAATCCCTCCTTATAAAATTACTCTGCTTTTCACGAAGCAATTATCTGAGCAGGGAATACAGTGCAGATGACTCCTCATCCCCAAGTACCTTTCCAAAATTTCTGTACAGTCATCCTTGTGCTGGTGTGTGCACAAGGAGTGATTGATGTGTGCTGGGAGGAACAAGTTCCATTCAGTCTGATTCAGCTTCCAAGTAGAGGGGTCAGCTGCACAAATGACTGACTTGAAAAGGCATGCCAAAACATCAAGTAGTGTGAAAAGTGTGCATCTCCACATTGGCTGGAATTTTAAAATAATACTAAGAGCCACGTTCAGGCTGGAGTGGTGTGTCTGTGCACTTCTGTATTCAGAAGTGCTTGCTTTGACCGTGTCTGTAGGCAAGCAACTGTGCTCTGGTGCACAGTTTTTGCCCAAGAAAGAGGCTGAGCCCAGCAGGATGTGCAGCTTCCAGCAGTGCACTGAAGGCCAGGGACAGCTTTAGAAAATGTGGTTTATACAACATTCTTGTTGGGGAAAAGAGTGTCTTCACAGTGAATTTGATAATAATTTGCCTCTATTTGAAGCAAATACAATAATTTGTGTCTTTTTGGCTCATTCTGTGTCTGAAACCATATCTCTCCTTAGTAACGTCTACTTTTTCTACCTTCTCTAGCACACTACATAGAGAAAAAGACATCAGAATGGAAATAGGCAACTAGTTCTCTTAAAGTCTTTTAAGTCACCCTTTTACATATTTGACTGACATGCTAAAAATTATTCTGGAATATTTAAGTATCTATTTCTGAGTGCTGTTCTGAAAGAGCCTGACAGCCCTCTAAGGACAGTGAGTCAGCTAGCAAGAATAATTCTTGCACTGCTAAGGAGGAGATAATGGAAAAGGTAAGGAGTGCACAGCACTACCAAAGAAGCACATTGTTTTCAGAAAGCTGAGATAAAGTCTCAGACAAACAAGGAATTTTTGTTCATAGTTTGTACTGTCCACTGCCATTTTTTGGGCTTCTTAAAATCTTTATGTTAGGTTTGAATGCATGAGCTTCCCAAGGGCATCTGACTGCATCTTTGATTCTACCAGAAAGTTTACACATGCTGAGCAGAGCAAACTAATTAGTGATTTTCAGCATTCAATTTGGTTGAGGTCCATTTAGGAGAAACACAAATGTACATCTTTGTAACCTCTTCAAGAAATAGTTCTGAGGAACACAAATAGGAGTGCTTGGCTCCCTACTACTAGTGCAAACTGGCTATGTTTCTTCATCTTGTTGTCTTTAAAAACAAACAAGCCACAAACAGATCTTGTTCACTGTTTTGTTATGACAGGGTGACAGGTTTCTTATTGTTACATTTTTTGACACAAACTATATTATAAAGTGCCAAGGAAGCCAGATAAGGAAAGGAAAGGTGGTAAACTTGCAGTGGGAAAGGAAAGCTTCCGTAAAGGTGAGGATGACTTTATTACATAAAACTTTTATTTTGTAAAGTTACATTTTAACAATATTACCTATTTACAAAAACTTTATTATTTTATATAAGAATTTGTGTTACTTAAGGAGCGAGAGGTGGAGGAAGTGGCTAAGTAAATGTGCATTGCTTTAAAAATGAAAACTTCTGTGTCTTTTTAACTGTGAAAACTGGTCTCCACAGTACACTTCATTTACCTCATTCTTTGGGAATTTGAGAGAAATGCAGCAGTGGCATATGAGATATACTTGTTTTCATTATAAATAACCAAACAAGTACCTATGTAAAGATCAGGAAGGAGAGATATATGCTCACCGGTAATTCTACTAAACACATAGATTTCAGAAATTTTTTGTAGGTCATGAAATAGTTAGTCAAATAAGTTGAGATACTGACTCATAAAAATTGAATTTAGAAAGGGAATGAGTTTATGCTAGAAAAAACCCTAACGTCTAGATTTTCTAGCATAAAGAAGCATGCAAAAATTATCAAAACATGGCTGAGGCAATAAAGTCTCTCATGCCAGCAGGCCAGAAGAAGAAAATTAAACCATGTGGAATCTGCAGACAGAAGTTTTGAGATGCTTTGGTACTTTTAATTCCAAAATGAACAGAAATAATACAGCCATCATTTTCACAGCAG